CACAGATGTGATTGAAAAGTTTCTTTAAATAAGTATATCGACTGAGAATTCCGAGACTTTGAAAGAAAGCTCTACAAAGATCCTGTACTGTAATCTGTAATAAGAAGATTGCTGAAGATTGAACACGCGGCGAATAGATAGTATCAAACAAATCAATAGTATCATGCTTAAATGAACGAGAACTTTTGTGAGACTTTGCCGATTTAAAATTAAATCCGTTTGACAAAGTTTCCGTTCGGAAAATGCTAAACGGAAAGCACTCAATTAAGTAATCTCTTCGAACGTCTACGATCGAAGGTCAGCCAATTTAAAATGCAAAACGTCGAGTAAGATACATAAACGTACCTTAGGAATAAAAACCAGACAAAGAGTGGCTGTACTACAAAATATAATGAACACCGCCAACATTATAAACATGGCGTCTTGTTTGTCAGTCAGCACGAAGCTTATAGCTGCACCGGTGACGCACATTATAACAACGTTGTACACGCTCATCCCTACGTATTTACTGTCATTTAATGCCGGTATACTAACGTGCCGCGTTTCCCATGCCAGAAAGGCACCGAATATCTGAAAGCCGGTCAGGTGAGTGTATATCGTATGCCATTTTATCCGCTGAGGCGCTTAGCGATTCAGCTTAACTTACCATTAAAAGGCCTTTGTATGCATATATGCAAAACAGATAAATATTCATTTGATTGCTCTGACAATACTCGTTTTCCGGGATGATTATTATATCCTCGCTGGAAGGGTGATGCTGCAATCGAGAGGCAATTCGCCTATTAACGAGCATTAACGCGAGTTTGCTTCGCAAATTATGATAGATGATATTAGAGGAATACCAAAATTTATAAGCGTATATTATTGACATAGATATATAAACCTTTGTATATTTTTGTACTCACATAGGGCTCCATTTGTTTTATCGCCCGATAAAACGGATCAGCCACTTGCCACGTTGTCATGATCGTTAGATCGACAGCCAACAATATTCCAACGACCATGAACAATTGATAATCTTTTATCACCTGAATCACGATACGGACTCGTTAACGTTAACGTTGAACACGAAAGGTCGCCCCGCCCGC